CCCAAAACAACAGAGAGCGAGTCACTAACTAAAAATTGACTGTACAGTTACTGAAAACCAATAACCACATTGTGACACACATTCAAACCATTATGGTTTTGCTGTGCAAAGTCAAAATGAAATCTTACTTGACTTTGCTGAAAACGATGTCCACGTCTGTGGTAGTCACATTCTTCCCATCAGTGATGTTGCAGTCTTTGCAGAGCTTTGCAAAATTCTTGCCGTTCATCTCCTTCCCTGTAGCTTTTGTGTCTCCGTGGACTGCAAACTTCTGGAAGGAAGTCTTGACCTCTTCTAGTGACACCGAACCCTCGGCCATGCTGACAGATGAACACATGCAGTTTTTAGTCAATTCAAATACAAAAGATTTTAACACTTTGTTCTCTTGATTAAAAAAATAATCTAAAAAAAAAGGACCTTAAATAGTTTGGATAAAATGTCCTTTGTGAAGACATTTTGTAAAAAAAAAAAAAGAATTAAAGTAATAACTCTAGGTTAACTGGCTGCTGGCCTGCCAAGACATAGCTGCCAAGATAGTACATCTAATTTTCTCTCTGTCTTACACACACACTTTTACTGTGTATCCATCATTATGCTAGTGTGTCTAAAACTGCACTCAAGCCCATTTAATTCAATCAACTCAATTTCCAAATGGCTTCTCTGCTGTTCAGTCTATAGTGAATGAACAAACACATTCCTTCTCCTTCTCTTCTGCCCCGTCTCTCCATCACACTCACTGACACTTACTTATTCATGAGTTAAGTGTTACCAAATGTGGCTTTTGATCGAGCTACACTGATATGAATTTTATATTAAATATTCACTGCATATAAAAATAACCATAAAAACAAATAGCACAGAAAATGTTTAAATGAACACTTTAAAACTAATGCATTTTAGTATGGCGTCATCTCAGTTTATGAATAATCCTAAAAATAATAATAATAATAATAATAATAATTACCTGTGCTGGTGGGTGTAAAAATATACATCAAACTATTATAACATGTAATCTTTCCATATTTTTTTTCAAGATTATTTCTACTGCCCTCTCACTGCAGCACTGCAGGTTCTAGATGATACAACAGTAAAGCACTAAATCACAAAAATATAAGATGTACCTGCTAAATGGAAGGATGCCGTGTGGATAGTTAGCCAAATCCGGAATTGCTAACAGCTGCTTGATCTCTTTCTCCGCTTCTGCCGCTCCTCCTTCCTGCCACTCCCAGGCTGTCTGACAGTTACGTAAAGGATGGAAGGATGCAGAGAGGCAAGGAGAAATGGGAGGGAATGGAAGGGGGAGAGAGTACCGACAAGCACAGTCAATGACATCATGGGTGCTCAGCCTCTCTTCTGTCAGCTCACTGTTATTAGCTTCCTGCCTCTCTCACAGACTTGCTCAAGGCTTTGTTATGCTATACAACATTTGGTGGAGTTAAACCTTTACCAACATTCTCTTGTACACAAATAAATTTTGCTGTTCAGTTCTTTACCCAAAATGATTTTTTACCATGCTCTTTTTCTGACTGGAATATTTAATTCAACTCACAGATATATATCTGTCGTGCTCTTGCTGTCATTTTCACAATAGCCTTCTTGTTTGAGCAAAGATGAGAGTGCCCCTTGACAGAACAAAGACCAGTGACAACATAAATCTGACACTTTACAATAATAACTATTCTCTCTCGCAATATCATATCAACCACATAGAATAATGGTTCTGTAATAAATGTAATGCATAATAACGTGCCTAAAGATTCAAAACTATACCTATGACTGGAAATTTTTTGGACAGTAGCAATTTTTACTCTGTATGCCACCAAAGTTTGACACAAAAATACAATAAATGTGCAGATGAGTAATTGTTTGAGGCTGCTGGCTTTCACTATGTGAAAGCTCATTTGATTGTTTTGGCCACTTGGAGATATCCCATAACTTCAGGGTTTAATTTTTTTATTTCAGTCTGTCACGGTCCTGGGTCAGTTCGACCCAGCATTTTGAGTTTCTTATGTTTTAGTTTTTATAATAATAATAATTATTTTTTGCATTATGGATCATTTCTTATTCTCTGGTGATACTGATTTGATTATAATTATGTTCTGTTCCTTTAGCTATCCGAGGATGATGATTATTTCTGGTTTAGGTCTTGCTATCGTGCCCTCATCTTTAGTTTAGGTTGCCTGTGCTTAGTCTTCTCTGCCTGTATGTCCCTCTGTCTGTCCATGGTGTCTTGTCTAGTCCTCTGTGTCTGTTAGTTTCCTGTTTTATTCTGAAGGTCCTTGTCTTATGTGAGTGTGTGTGTACGTTTCCCCTGCCTCGTCAGTAGTGATTTTCCCCAGGTGTGTTCCCCTCCTGTCTCTCGTCCCTTGATTGCTGCCTCAGTGTATTTAAGCCCAGTGTGTCTTTGTGTCAGTGTCGCGTCGTTAACGGCTATTCATCCTCTCTCCCCTCTCTCATCCTCTCTTTTTGTTGACGTGCTAATGGAGGCATGTGGGAACCCACGTTTTGTATTTTGTTTACAGCAATAACAGAGAAAGCTGTTTTGACATCACACACCATCATGAAACTCAGTGTTCAGTCAAATGGAAAA